GTTTAGGGCTCAGGGTTTAGGGAATAAAGTTCAGGGTTGGGGTTTAGGGTCAAGCTTCCCTGCCCTGAGGGCTGCAGGGCTTGCCAGGTCTCTCGGCTGTTGCGAGCGACCTCCCTGAACAAGGACTGCATTGCAAGACCGAAGTAGGCATGTGGTTCAAGCATTTCAGCGCATGTCGGCTTCCCTGTGACGAAGCATACAGAAACCTGATTTTGGTCTGAGGCTTTGGGAGGGTTCAGGGTTTTCAGTCGTGTTTTCTCGGGTTGCGGACTGAATCCGTGGCAGGTGCACACCTAGAAGAATGGACATAGCTGCTATAACTGTACGGCTGTAATACGGCTGTAATATAGGGACCTTAATAGTTAGGCTAGGGTTTTGGGGCATATTATACTATATACTGAGGACCCCCCCAAAACGGTATAGGTAATTATTTAGCCTCCCACATGAAACACTTAACCCTTCAGCATGGCTAGATGCTTCTGAACATCCTCCTCTGAGTCGTCCGCGCGCTTCTCCTTCGGATCGTTTGGGGTTGCAGGCTGCAGGCTGCTGGTGTGGGAACCATGTTTGATACATTTAAAGGGAAAGATGCGTACATTCTGGTAAACTATCCGAAGAAAGAGAGGTAGGCAGGCAGGTGCATGGTAGAAGGTTTGTACGAGAGAGAGAGAGAGAGAGAGAGCGAGAGAGAGAGAGAGAGGAGAAACAAGTCAGGCTCATTGCTTGATAGTATTCGTATTCAGGTGGCCACTGTCATTCGCATCATGGATCAAACCTGGCTTCTGACTACATTTCTGACAGCCAACAGTATATGTGTGCAGAAAAAATGTGTATATATATATATATATATAGATGCATCGTCGTGTGTTCGTTCTATAGACTTTATCGGTATGTTAACTGTTTTATGTCGGTGCTTCTTTATGGAGCGATAACAACTAATATGGGGGCCTTGCGAAATGGAACAGATGTTTAGGATGCATTATACTTGTACAACTATATCGGGAATATAAAGGGATACTATTACACAAAACTCTCTACTACCTTCATGTTTCAAGGCTCGAGTGAAAACAGCCACACTCCCCAAAGGTGCAAGTACCAATGGTTCTTGTTAGATATTTAAGCCACAAAAGGTGTGTCTGGGCTTTGTAGTAACCAAGGAGATCATCAGCCCGCACAAACTGTTCTTTCATAATTGCTATTTTAGGAACACGTCTGAACATGTATTCAAGTATGGTACTCCAGAACCCAGATGCAGTTTACTGCTACTTGGTATATGCGTGTATATTGTATGGAAAGTCGTTTCTTAGTCGAAATTTAAGCTCCGAAAGTATGTAGTATACTTAAACCCGAAACCCTAAACCCTAAACCTTAACCCCTAAACCCTAAACCCTATACTCTTCCTTGGAAGCTTTGGGAATGAGGGGGTCCTCGTGCGAGAAAAGGATCCGAAGGCCGCAGTACTCGTCGAAGCATTTGGGCTCATCCTCGCCGCTTGGGCTTGGCACGCGAAAGGAATTTTGTGGGACCAGGTCTGAGGATCCCAAGTTGTGTGATTTACGGGATTTAGGGTTTATACCTTAATTTTAGGGTTTAGGGTTTAGGGTTTAGGGTTTAGGGTTTAGGGTTTATGTGGAGGCTGAGAGCATGGACATGAGCAGGTGACCTGGTGACCTGGACGGGACTGCTAAACAGGACAGGTCTACGATTTACATACCCAGCGAACCCGATACACCTTAATTAAGGTATATACCTTAACTTATAGGGGCCTTAATATTATGATTTACGGTATATCCCTTAATTAAGGGGTATTGGGTTCTCTGGGTAACCGGTATACCACCAGTCCACCCCTCGCTCTTTGCCTCCATGCCGCAACCGGCGAGGAAGTGGCCCAAACCTGAGTGCAGGGTTCAGAAAATGAGGGATCGCAGTAGAAGGGACACCACTATCTTGAGCTGTAGGACCCCCGTTCTTCAGAAACTCCCAGATCGAGTTAATTCGTCCGAGGCGAAGGATTTGGGGATCAGGGTTTGAAGTAGGAGCGTTTACATCCTCCGTGGTGTTGGCCGGTTGGTACAAGAACTCAGGCGGCGCCGTATCTTATACACTATTGTTATTACTACTCGTATTATCATTATTATTATTATTATCATTCATATTATTATAATAACTATTGTTATTCCTCTATAGTCTTATTCTTGTTGCTAATTACTATTGCTCTCCTCATCCTAACCCTCTGCCCAAAGTGCAAACCCCAAATTGGAGCACTTGCTTGTTGTAGAAAAAGGGCTATCGAATTCAGGCTCACCTTTATTGGCTACAGGTGGCCCCACTAGCTGCCCTTGTTGCAACCATCCTGATAGCTACGATGAGCGCACCGAAAAGGGGAACGCAGAACCCTAAACCCTAAGCCCGTGGGGCTACATGAGCGACCCGACTCTAGTTAGGGCTTTGAAGTCTTAGAGCATTTCCCACTTGAGACCCGGTAATCATCGGCTTTTCCCAAAGTCAATCCTACATTTCTGCTATTGATGCTAAACCCAAGAACCTAAACATCATCTGCGTTGGACCACCATACTGCAAAGGAGCCGGTATCAAACCTTTAACCCACCCCTGATGAACCCATGAAACCCTAACGCTTGCAGGACCCTAAGCATAAGTCCCTCAGGCTACATCTACCTGCCTAGTATATACTTAAGCCTTGAAGTACCCCTATAGGAACCACTTTAGGACCTAAAAATAACCCTAAGGGTCCATGTACCCAAATAATCTTTGGCCCCAAAGTAACCATGTAGGGGCTACTTCGAGGCCAAAGTATTTTACAATTTGGGTCCATGGACCCCTTGGGATATATTATTTCGGAGCCTGAGGGAGTAGTCGAGGGCCCAGTTCGGGCAAGGCTCGATATGTCGAGAGGGAGACGCAGAGCATGCACACCCTGGGCGAGGCAGCACAGGACTTATGCTGGGTGTAGGGCTTAGGACAAAGAGTCCCATGTTTAGGGTTTAGGCAAAGCTTCGGCTCGTTGGGATTGTGTGGCTCGGGGTTATTTGAGGGTTTGGGGGAGGGGGTGTTGGTTGATTGGCTTTGCAGGGGTGGTATCTCTAGTCCCTAAAGCCGCTCAACCGTGGAAGGTAAGCTCTGCAGCGTTTTCACCTTTGCTTAAACTTTGGCGGGCAGAAGGCGAAGGCATCGTCGTCTTGTTCATAAGTCAATAGACAAGGGCCAAGCACCGAGACCAGTCTTGATGATGACAGCAGAGGGCTTCAAGTTGTCAGCCCAGGCCCGAACACATCAACGAAAACAACCACGGCAAAAGCAAACCCTAGCGAGTCGGAAGATGGGTCAATCATTATCGCCTTTTGCTATCTACACTTTTCCCCGAAAGCCGCGCCAGCCAACTTGAAACCCAAACCCGCAAACGCGAACCAAGCGCTGAAACCAAACGACACAAATCCTGAAACCCTAAACCGCCTCAATCCTGCACCCTAAAGTCGAGACAGACCAGCAGCACGCTCACAAAAGCTTGGAAGACGAAGCCGTTTGTGATAGTTGCAGCGACCTCGACCCAAGTCTGTCTCACTTTTGCTGTTGAGCCGGAGCCGCCTAGCTATAGCCAGGGTTTGCGGCAGAGGTTCATGTCCATGACTTCTTGGCTTTGATTTTGGACCCAGCATGTCAGCATGGCAACTCCAGGATGACTCTAAACATGCAAAACAAGCTCCAACTAGTTCTAGGGTTTAGAGTTTAGGGTTTAAAGAAATCGCTATCCAAAGCCTGCCTGAATGCTCACAGAGTATGAGTATACAGTATACAGGACCCTGGCTGTTCCCTTGAGGTGACCTTCTCTCTCCATCTGAATAGGGTTTGAGGGCGAGGGAGCCTCAGGGTTAGGCCCTACACTTCATGAAGGGCTACATAGAGCTTTTTTGTTAAACGGCACTTCTTCGATCTAAGGAAAGTTTAGAGCATGGGCTTTGCGGCTCTTAACGGAATTTACGGACTAGAGGATTGAGCCCGTCCAGTTAGACCCCTACAAGCCTTGCTTAGAATTTCGGGTTGGAGTTATGGCCTTGCGCACCACAACCCCCAACCCCCCTTCAAAAACGTTCACCCTTCGGCCCTAAGGGGCATCTTGGGGCTGCTTAGGCCCGAGTGGCACGCAATAGGAAGTCTGGTGGACTCTATTAGTCCATTTGGGTGCTATAGTCCTAAAAGCCCGATCCTGCTGAATATACACGCCAACTCCGAAATCTTCATTCATGCCACCTGAAGCTAAGCCCCTAAGCCCTAAACCTTAAAACCAAACTCCCAAGCCCTAAACCCTAAGCCCTA